ATTAAAAAAAGCTCAAGTTTTCTTTTTTTTAACTGTGGGCTCTTGTAAAATCAAAATTAAGTCATATACTTCTTCAAAAGGGAAGAAACTGGCATTCTTAAGAAAATTTAAGTCCAGCAGTTTAGACATCTAGGATTCACTCATGAGCTCCTGGACTCCTCTGGCTCTGCCATTCACAGCTTGTCCCATAGACTCAAGCTGGCTCTACTCCATACCTACTTGTGGCTCTACTCCACACCCACTGGTATCCGTGGTGGTATCCCACAGTCCTGGCATCTCTACTATTATGTCCTCAGGCATTCACTTAAACTGATGTTGCACCTTCACCAATGACTTTTCCTGACTTCATGTGGTGACAAACCTCATATTCTCTCCATGATTCCTTCAATTTTGTAGCTTTCAGGCTACCAAAAATAGTACCATATGGGAGACTCTTACAAGTTCTACCAAGTTCTACTTCCAGCTTGAAATGCAATCTTGACTCCCTCTGAACTACAGAGTCTGTGTGCTGTGCTGATCCTGAGGAAATATGTCTCAGAAGATTTCACCTCAATGATGCTGGTCTATTGTTAATCACAACTGACCCCACCCAACCAGAATTGATTGTCACAGTAATTCAAAGGTTTTACACCAGTGATGCTGGTCTGTTGTTGATCACAGCTGATTCTTCAGCTCCAGGTGACCAGAAGCCACAGATTCTCAATTCAAAATATAACAGAAATGTTTGGATAGAATCTTTATAGGATTCCAAAACATCCCTCTGAAATTTCACAAGCCAAGCATCCATTGTCTATGCCTCTCTCAACCTTCCTATCTTTTAAGCTTCCACAGAAGCTCATTAAGCTCTGAGAAGTCAATAGACTTTCTAGCTCAGTGTTCCAAATGCTTCCAAAATCCTCCCCAAAACAACATCACAGCAATATCCCACTCCTGATACCAACTTCTGTTCTTGTTTGCTTCTCTCTTGGGGTAGGGAAAAGGAGGTTTATTTCACCTTCAGTTTACAGTTCATCATGGAGGGGAGCCAGGGCAGGGGCTCAGGGCAGGAACCTGGAGGCAGCAACTGAAGCACAGTCCTTGGAGGAATGCTGCTTACTGGCTTGCTTTCCCTGGCTTCCTTGGCCACTTTTATACAATCTGTTCAGGGTCTGTAAAATTCCCTAAATTGACCACTCAGACACTGAGTCTCAGTAAAAGGGAGTGCTTTATTGGATCCAACCGGTTGGGGATGCAGACAGTCTCGGGAGCTGTACTGTGACTCTGAACAGTGAAAACGCAGGGCTTTTAAGCAGAAAACCCACAAAAAAAACCACAAAGCAGGGGATGTCCATAGAAACTATACCTAGAATAACCAAGAAAGGATTGGCACAATCTCGGGCTCATTTCCAGAGACTTTACCTATACAACCATTGGCTGTCTTACTTGGGGCAGAACATTCTTTATCTTCTGCCCCAGTTTGTTCCCATAGAGACCATACACAGATGTATCAAGTATACTGTTATTGGCTGGCTCACCTGGGACAGAATATTCTATCTCTTCTGCCCCAGACCATTTCCATAAAAATCATAAACACATACCAGGAAAGGGTTTGAACAATGAAGGGGATTTCCAGAGTCAGGTGGAGGGTAGTTTTTTTCTCAGAGGATAGGGAGGGGGTCTGAGGGGCACTCTCTTTCAAATCCAGGCCTACCTTCTCAGGGAATGGCACTACCCACAGTCAGCTGGGCTGTCCTACATGAACCAGTAATCAAGAAAATCTTCCACAGATAGGACCACATGACAGTCTGATGGTGGTATTCCTCAACCTAGGTTCCCTCTTCCCAGGTATGTCAAGCTGACAACTGAAGCTGACCAGGAAAACCTGTAAGCTAAAATAGTCCCTTTCCTCCCCATTTTGATTTTTGTCATGGTGTTTATCACAGTAACAGCCAGCAAATTGAATTGATGATTTTGGAAACTGGAAACCCACTCTGGCCACCAAGGCCATCTACCTCAGGTTGGCCTCACACGAGTGGCAACAGGTGATTTTAATGCACTACCTAGTCTGGGAATCGATGACATTGCTCTGCTCCACCCTTATTTAGCAGATGAAGAAACTGGGACAAGAAATCATCAAGTTATATAATTATAAGGACTTAAGTAAAGCTCAGCATATACAAGGTCCTGGGGGTTTATTTCCGGCATTGTCAAAAACAAACAAATATACATATTAGCTTGGGCTAAGTCCCAGATATTCCAGAAGTTAACTTTAGAGGATCAAAAATCTCAGACAAGCCTTGGCAATATGAGGATACCATGTCTCTCTCAAGAAACAAACAAACACCCCAAAGCTGCATTGCTGGTGGAAGGAAGGGGTGAGTTATGAATCCTAGTAGCATTCTTCTAACCCAAGCCAAAGTGCACTGCAGATTAGCGATTGCTATTTCTTCCCAGACTGGTTAAAAGCCAGTGCATTGACCTGATATGAAGTGGGAATGGGACAGGAATGATCTCAGAAGCACAAGTCAAAGAGACATAAGTGATTTTAGAGCAAGGACCTGTGTGGTATTAGTTTTTCAATAGACCTTATTATTCTCCTGCATCCCATCTCTTATGTCTCTCTACGTGTCCATCTAATAACAATGAATTCCTTTATGCTGTAGGGACAAGAGCAGTTTCTCATGGAAGGCTTACTGGATGAGGGTACAACTGAGTCACACACAGATAAACAGAGTGGGCCAGATATTCTTAATCAAAAATTACAAGAAACAGAGGCCAAGACCTCAGTAGTAGGTTTGCAGATTGAGGAATGACATAGGTGTAATAAATGCTAATATGGGAAAAGACTCTAATTATTCAGCTAGTTCTTGGGATATGGGTGGAATTTCAGATTGTAGACCTGGAGAGAGTGGTCAGTGTTCTTGTGTTTATAATTCCAGACACACAAATGATGTTTGAAGGCATGCCATAGACTGGCCATCAAAGGAGTTGTATAATATGACTAGGTTTTTCAAGTTACAAATTGTGCAGCTGGGCTTCTGTGAACTGTTCCTGATTTCCCAACCCCTAAGCTGTGGAAACATGGTGGTCCCTCTTCTGTGGTCACATACAAGTTAAGTTTCATTAATTCTGACTTTTGTTTGGTTGTTTTTATGAAACTGGGTATATGGTGTGTTATATTTAAAGTGTGTCCCACAGGCTTCTAGAGTGGTGACAAGGAAGGTTGTGCTGATTAATATTGGTTGTCACCATAACAGGATCTAGGATCATCAAGGAGACAAACCTACCGATATGTCTTCTAGAGAATCCTCAGATTGGATTAACTGATGTGGGAAGACACACCCTGTGGGTGGCACCATTCCATTGGATGTGGTTCTGAACTGCATGAAAAGGATAAAGGTAACTGAGCACCGGCATTCACCACTACTTTTTGAATCTATGTATGGCAGTAAAATACTGTGGTGATTGCTTGAACTTTTCCTCTCATTGATGCCCTAGCTTTGTCCAAGCTCTTTAGATTTATTCATAATGTCATTAAAATCTTTTTTCATTTCTTTGTGCCAGCAAGTTTCCACAGTAGTTACCTGCCTGGGTATCTCCTTAGAAGCCATCCTACCAATCCTGCTAGGAAGCAGAGAAAGCTCAGGTTCCCAGGCTTTGTATCTTCTGAGTCACCTGATCTAGCCAGCTGGGCCATATTACATAGAAACTAATAGGATCCTTCATTATACCACACTGCTCAAGTCCTATAAAGACTTTGGAATAGCAGAATTAAATTAGTTAAGTGGGTAAAAGAGGGTTTTTTAGGGAGGCGAATTGCTTGTTCTTTAAATGCATCAGTATAGTTCTCATTACTTGTATACAATTTCCAATTCACTAAATCAACCTGTCTTCTGTGCACTTTGCTTTGGTATAAGTATGGCGTCTAATGGCCTTATCAGTGTGATTAATATCTGCCCATAGCAGCTGGAGATATCATTCAGTTGGTAGAATACTTGCTTAGTATGAATGAGGCCCTGGGTATGATCCCCCATCATTGCCTAAGCCAGGCATGGTGGTGTATGGCTGTAATCCTAGGACTCAAGAGATGGAAGCTGGTGGATCAGAAGTTCAGGGTCATCCTCGGTTATAATGCAAGTTTGAAGCCAACCTGAGCTACGTTAGACCCTGTCTCAAAACAAACCAAAATCTGCCCTTCAGAATAGGAGAAAATGAAAATGACTATGAAAGTCTGTTCTGTCTATGGATGTACCACACTGGGTGCCTGGACATAGATTTATGATTGGGATTTCATTGAGATGTTTGGATGCAGGTGTCATCAACTATATTCTTGTTACTCTGTCTATAGGGCCACAAGTGGTAATGTCTCACCTCATGCTGATGGATTCACAGAATGGAGAGTTCAAATAGCTACTCTTTCTCTCCAGTTGCAGGTAGAACTTCATGTGCCTTGTAACGTCCTCTCAGGTGTTACAGTGACTGTGAGCTACTACCAACAAGCTGTCTTCACTCGTGTACTCAACCAGCATAGTGTCCTCATAATAAGTGTCCTTTCAACCCAGAGAGTCTCTGAAGTGCTGACCTAGGCAATTGGGAATTCAAAAGAAACTGAGTGGTTAGTGTTAAAAAAATAAAAATAGGAGCCGGGTGTGGTGGCACACACCTTTAATTCCAGTACTTGGGGGGAGGGCAGAGGCAGGCAGACTTCTGTGAATTCAAGGCCATCCTGGTCTCTATAGTGAGCTCTAGGCCAACTGGAGCTACAGGGAGACCCTGTCTCAAAAAGACAAAAAAAAATAATAGTAAAGAAATAAAAATAGGGGCTGGACAGATGGCTCAGTGGTTAAGAGCAATGACTGCAACCCTGGTTCCATTTCCAGCACCCACATGGCAGCTAACAACCATCTGTAACTCCAGTTCCAGGGAATCTGACACCCTCTTCTGACCTCCACCAGCACTGCATGACACATGTGCACTTACATTCAGGCAATTAACTCATACACATAAAATAAAAATAATAAATTAAAATTTTTAAGAAGAAATAATCAACTGCATGCCACAGCAATGTGGAGAGACTTTGACAGCTCAGGTCAGCACAGTATCTGCATCTGCCACTTGCCTTTACTATAGACAAAAAAGAAATAATAATAGTAATGGTCCATTTTCAAAAATGCCTTGAGTCAGCTTAGATCCAGCTACAGATGAACAGAAAAATGCTGAGCCCTTGCTAATGCCTACTCGTCTAGCTACCCCCACCCAAACTAGAAATTTAGAGTAAAACATTAACAGCCAAGCTTGCCTAATAACCTGCAGATATGACAAAGTCATTCACCTCAAAAGCTTTACAGTAAACAGGTTGTAATATGTAGAGAGAAACACATGTACCATCTTTGTTGAAAAACAGATAATTGTATATGGAGGATGACATGTAAGATTGTGCCTCTGGACTACTTAGCTAATGAGGAAAGCAGGGGAAGGAACTGCATTCAGGTCTATAAAAACTGTTCTTTGCACTCCTTGACATTTTTATCTGTTAGGGGTGCCCAACTTTGAAAAATTGCAAAGTAAACTGTCTTGCTTTCTCTACTCTGAGTCTCCAGCACTCGTTATTGGGAATGGGGTGGGGTCTTCATTCCTCACATGAGGAAGTAGATGGCCAGTGACATTTGGGCTACTACCATCAATCAGACACTGCCAGCACTATCTCAGCCAATGATAGTCACATATGCTTGTGCTGGGCATCAGGTAAGGAATCTTTACCATAGTTGACATGAGACTTGCAATGCCTTGTGGTGCTAGCTCCCAGGTAATGGGAAACTTAGGCCAAGTATTAGGCATCTTCCTTCTGTCTGTGTCTAGATGAGGGAATAAATGAGTTTGAGTAGCCCTAATGTCAGAAAGCCAAGGACATACAGAGACAGGGATTGCTACTGTTGGAAGTTCTCTGAGCTTTTAGCATCTGTAGACCAGGAGGACGTAAGGATAGTTCATATCACCCCCAATCTCCCGTGCTGGTAAGTTTTCATCAATTTGACAAAAATTAGAGTCACTTGGGAAGAGGGACCCTCACCTGAAGAATTTTCTGGATCAGAATAGCCTGTGTCCATGTCTGTGAGACATTTTCTTGATTGCTGGTTGATGTAGTAGGCAGTAACATTGATACAGGTGGGCTTGAGCTGCGTAAGAGGGGTATCTGAGCAAGCCAGTAAGCAGTCTTCCTCCATCTGCTTTGGTTCCTGCCTCCAGATTCCTGCTTTGGTTCCTGCCTCCAGATTCCTGCCTTGAGTTCCTGCCTTTATTTCTGTTGATGATGGACTGTAATCTGTAAGTCAAATAGACATTGTCCTCCCCAAGTTGCTTTTGGCCATAGCAACATAGTGATGAATGTTATGTTTATTATAGCAATAGAGAAGCAAACTAAGACACCCCAAACAAGGCTCTGTGGGGTACCCAAGCTTGATGGGGAAAGGTAGTGTTATAGTTTGCCTTCAATTGCTGCAACGAAACACTCTGACTAATACCAACTAGGTTAGGAACGGGTTTATTTGCCTTACATCTCCCGGGTCACAGTTCATCACTGAGGGAGCCCAAGGTAGGAACTCAGAGCAGGAACCTGGAGGCAGGAGCTGAAACACAGGCCATGAAAGAACACTGGTTACTGGCTTGCTCCCCTGGCCTATTTTCAACCTGCTCTTACATAGCACAGGACCGCCTGCACACGGGTGGCACCACCCACAATGGGTTGGGCCCTCCCACATCACTCAGTAATCAAGAAGATGCCCCACAGACATGGCCACAGGCCAGTTCAATGGAAGCAATTCACCAATTGAGGCTCCCTCTACCCAGGTGTGTCAAGTTGACACTAAAGCTATTCAGCACAGGTAGCACCTGGGGAAAAGACATTGTAGGTGTGACTGTGTTAAATACCCTGTAGGCAGAAGCATGATCACAAGGGAAGAAACTAAAGGAAACATGGTTAGGTGGTAGAAGAGCTTATCACATGCATTTCCAACTCAGGATCAGCACACACACAAACAAATCACTAAAGCAAAGTCACGAATCCAAGTGGTAATTGCTACAGGAGCCTAAATGCTATGTGTCACAGTCTCTGTGTTCTCTATGAGGTTGTGCCATGTTCCCTCATGATCGTGGTGATCTGTGTAGCCATATCTTTTATGTCCTCTCACAAGTTAAGACACTTCCTGTTCCAGTTTCATTTATGTTGTTGTGATAAAATACCCTGACAAAAAGCAACTTGGGAAGAGGAGGGTTTATTTGGCTTACAATTCCAAGTTATAGTCCATCACTGTAGGGAAGTCATTTTAGAAGCTATTCACATGCATAGTGAAGAACAGAGAGAAAATAGATGCATGCATTGCCTCTTACCCAGCTTGCTTTTTGCACTCTTATACAGTTCAAGGTTGAGGACATGAAACGATGCCACCTGTATTCAGAATGAATATTTCCACCTTCGTTACCCCAGTTGTGAAGAGTCCCTCACAAGCATGCCCACAGGCCGTCCTGACCTAGAAAAACCTTTTTGACACTCTCTTCCCAGGTGATCTTAGATTGTATCAAGTTGACAATTAAAACTAACCATCACATTTCCTTAAGGACATACTCTGCGTAGCAGAGGCAAAATCAGAACCAGCATAGCTTGAATGCAGTACATTTATGGAGAAACAAGTCTAAGTATCCCGTGTCAGGATCTGAAACAACCTGGCATTGTAGATAAGGAAACTGAAAAAGCAGGTAAAAAGCTGGAACCCTGTTACCGGCCTGGCACAGCCTAAAATTCTCTAACATCCCAGATTTACAAACAAGGGCGGTAGTGACAAAAGAAAATTTCCTTGAAATGATTGTTTCAAAAGGCATAGTCCTAAAGGGCCCTTCAGCATGGATACATATTAAAATTTCATTCTTTTTCTGTCATTTTGTTCTGTGGAGAAAATGTTTTACTCTGTAGTCTAGGTTGGCCTCAAACTTTTGGCAATCCTGTCTCAGCCTCCCTAGTGCTTAGATTTAGGGTATGAGGCACTATTCTGGGTCTAATCTTTCATCCTTAATGAACATGCAATCTGGGAGGTAATAGTTGTCCCAGATTGACACGTGTGTGTGTGTGTGTGTGTGTGTGTGTGTGCTGGGTATATTGAAATCATAGTCACAGTCAGCTTCATGAGAAAGATCATCCTTGTAGGGATGACACTGCTGTACTTCAGCTCTAATATTCATCCAATAAGTACTTGACATTTCTGCTTGTGTAGGGATGGGTGAAACCACAGAGTAACCTGTCATCTATCGGGCATTTGCATCAGAAAGAAGAGAGTCCAAGCATTTCTTCTATTCATATTTGCGCATATCACTTCGTCTACTTGAAAGTTCCATTATTACCTCAGCAATAAAATGATGTGTTTCATAGTTGGATAGTTCTCAAATTCAGTTATTCAATACACAGATGCCTTCAGTGGTTGGTAACTAAAGACTGTTTCTCCACCCCCATAAATCCTGGCTGAACTCCGTTTTTGTTGACCTATATAAGGGACACTAAAAGTTTTGCACCTAATCAAGAAGATTTTGAAGAATCCATTCTTGTTTTTGAAACCCATATCAAGAAGGCTAATAACCTATTTCTAGGGAGTGAAAGAAATCTAGAGGCTGTAAGCTAATTGTCATTGGAACCACTGACCACCAGGGAATGCCAGGCAAGCTTTCCTGTCCTAATAACTGCCCAAACTAACCCTGGCACGCAATAGGGATCTGCGATGCAAATCACTCCAGTTCTGTACTCCCAAGGGCCTTGCATTGCTGGCAGATGGGTGGTGATCTGGAGTTGCCGGAGTGCAGAGAGGAATTTCTGAGTCCCATCTTCCCACAAGCTGTCTATAAGCCACTCCCATAGCAATAGGGCATAGTCTAGGCCTCTGCTAATACACAGCGTTCTGTGGCTTGGAGCCATATTCTAAATCCTTACTCCCTGGCCAAGCTGCCTGGCCTGTAACTCTTACCATAACTGCTGTGTGAGTGGACAAGGCTGAGAAGAAGGGAAGAGTGCACATGGTAGTGTGGCTATGCCACATCCTCCCTGGACCCCTGCCTTCTCTCTCATCTTGGGAGGGATGCTCTGCTTCTCTCCACTTGTAAGAATGTCTCTTGTGTCTTGCAGGGTTGCATCGTGTCTCATCCTATTAATGCCTCACAACCTAGTAGCTCTATATACAGGGATCTTATAGCTGTATCTTTGTGACTCAAATAGCACAAAGAAGGCATGTCCCAAACAAGAGAGAAAGAAAAATGAATGTACTTGGTGTATTAGTGGACTGAGTTGGGGTACATGTGTCTTGTCCTCCAGTAATTACTTTCCTTACTGCTACTGTGAGGTTGATTGATAGCTGTAAGAATCCAGACCAGACTGCTGCTCAGGCCACAATACCTGCAGCAGCCTTTCCCCTCTCACAGACACCGACAGGCACCCTACAGAGGGTGTCCTAGTTTGTTCTTCATTGCTGTGACAAAATACTCTGACCAATACCAACTTGGGGAGGAAAGGGTTTATTTAGCTTACATCTCCCAGGTCATAGTTCATCAGGGAGCCCAAGGTAGGAACTCAGGGCAGGAACCTGGAAGCAGGAGCTGGAGCACAGGCCATGGAGGAACGCTGCTTACCGGCTTGCTCCCCTGGCCCCTGCTCAGCATGCTTTCTTATCCAACATAGGCCCACCTGCCCAGGGGTGGCACCACCCACAGTGGGCTGGGCCCTCCCACATCACTCATCAAGAAGATGCCCCTCAGACATGGCCACAGGCCAGTCCAATAGAGGCGATTCCCCTATTGAGGCTCCCTCAACCCAGGTGTGTCAAGTTGACACTAAAGCTATCCAGAACAGAGGGCATTGTCAGTGCATCTCCAGCTAACCTAAATTCACCTAAAGAAGTGAATTTACATTAAAGGGGTTATCAGTGGCCATACATCCTGCTCCCTATCCCCTTCTCTGTCTCCTGGGAATCAGAGAGCCTGCTGCAGGACTGTGAAACCTCTCCCACTCTCAGACTGTAAGAGATGCCCACTTCTGCCATGTGGGCATTGATTCCTCTCTTCAGAGCTCCCACTATGTTGTCTGTCTCTGGCACTGGGA